GAGAGAATTTTAATATTTTTTTTTTTTTTAGTTATCGGCGGAGACAACATCTTTGCTTTGTATGTGGTGCTGAGGATCAAACCCAGGCCACAGGCATGCCAGGCGAGTGCGCTACCGCTTGAGCACATCCCAGCCCTAAATATGTAATACTAAGAACACAATCTCTTTTCATTCTCCCCTTCTAATAATAAAGGTATAAATTATTTTAAAGATTCAATTACCTAAAATCATTTTCCAGTTGGAAGTAGCTGATTAACCACCTCACAATGTCACATTAGACACAAAGGAACCAAGAAAAGAAAAACTGTGCTGGGGGCATAGCTCAGTGGTAGAGCATTTGCTTAGTGCTCTCAAAGTCCTGGGTTCAATCCCCAACATTGCAAAAACATGATAGTTAAAAAAAAAAAAAAAAAAAAAAACCAAAAAACTAAATACAGTTAAGTTCCAAGTTAATATAAGAAGAAAAAGTAGTGAGTGTTCAAAATTGTAAGAAAATAGTAAAAATTTCTAAGGGCAAAATACAGAATAAAGTAAACTCAAAGCACATTCTGGCCCAATGAACACAAAATGCCTATTATTCATATAAACTTACTTATTTTAATAAAGGCTTATTATAAACACGATCAAGACTTCATAAATTCAAAGTACCAATTCACCACTAATACCTGAAAATTTCATCTACCACTATCCTATCTCGTCTAGTACTAGTACTACTACTATTACTACCTTATCCCTCAGGTAGTAGGTAGTAAAACAGCCTGAGTTGTTGACGACCTCCAGTTTCTTTCTCCTTACAAATTATCCTGCATACCATACACCTAAATATTACTGTCAATATTATTTTAGTTGGGCAATTAAACTAAGCTCAGTTTTAATTATTGGCCATTGGCCACTCAAAACTCTTAAGTCTGTGACTAGATAATGGGACCAACACTCACTTCATAGATTGAAAATTAACAGAGAACATATTTGAAATACTTTAAACTGCAAAGCCCTATAAAAAGATTATCTACCAAAAACCTACCTAGTCTTATTATTCAAAGATAAGAGAATTTTAAAACATACAGTTATACAGTGTACATCTGTTATTAAATGTTTTCATTTTTTCAAAAACTTTACTGATATCTATTAACCAGACACTGTCTCATATCTTGGGGACATATAAGTAATCAATTCAGGGCTGGAGATGTGGCTCAAGCGGTAGTGCGCTCGCCTGGCATGCGTGCGGCCCGGGTTCGATCCTCAGCACCACATACAAACAAAGATGTTGTGTCTGCCGAAAACTAAAAATGAGTATTAAAAATTCTATAAAAAAAAAAATAATAAGTGATCAATTCAGGCAGAGTCTTTGCCCTCATGAAGTTTAAAATCATTCTTTGAAGAGCAAAGTAAATTCTATTCCTCCTATCTGTGTGTGTGTATTTGTTTGCTAATGGGGATTGAACCCAGAGATACTTTACCATTAAGCTATACCTCACTTTTTTTTTTTTTTTTTTAATTTGAGATAGATCTCACGCAGTTGCCCAAGCTGGCCTCACACCTGTGATCCTCTTGCTTTCACCTCTCAAGTCATTGGATTACAGGTGTGCACCACTACACCTAGCTTCCTCTAAATTTATAACTTTAAACTCAGGCTTAGAGACTCAGAAATGATTTTACCTAAAGCTATGACTTTACATATATATGTATGTATATCTACATATGATGTGACAAAAAATGAGACTACACAGACATATTTTCTAATTCTTTAAATAGTACCTTTTCCACTACATCACAACTGCTTTTCAGGTGATATTATGATTAATGGAAATATTTAAAGATTCTCAAGAAGATAATGAGCCCACAGTTTACTGCTATTTTAAAAAACAAGACTAGGGCTGGGGCTGTAGCTCAGTGGCAGAGTGCTTGCCTGGCATGCGTGGGGCACTGGGTTCGATCCCTAGCACCACATAAAAATAAGCAAAATAAGGGCATTCTGTCCCTCTACAACTATAAAAGATATTAAAAAAAAAAAAAAAGACAAAAAGGAAAATAAGACCTTTCTTACCTCATGACCTTTCCCTTTGAATTTTGTCTTATCAAACACATGCCTTAAGGCAGGAAGTCCTCTCTCTGAAATTAATCTGTAAATAGAAAAACATTTTGAATTTCAAGTTTCCTAGAGTGAAGTCCAAACCAAGACCATAGGAAAAAAAAATATTTTCTCCTAAATGAAAACAAATATTTATAGAACAATCTGATTTTCAATTCACCCCAACCCAAAGCTTGTAACATTAGAAAAAAACAATAGCTATAAAGTATAAACGTGTATAGAAAACACATACCTCTGAGCATCCAACTTGGGAATATTCCTTTTAACTGTTCTCTTTACAGGTACAGGAACAGGTGCTCTGGTCCCTGACCCTGATGAAATATATCAAGAAGCAGCATTATATAATTTAAGCCTTACTTACAAATTTATTATTTATAAGCTGATGGATGGATAAGTGAACATGGATACTTTTGTGAAACTCTATACAGACCTTCATCAGGTTCAGGTCCTTCACCATCTCTCTGCGGAGATGCTGGAGGTGGGAAAGGAGGAAAAGTTTCATCTTCTACATGTTCATAATCTGGCAGGTCAACTAAGCCATTCTCTTGGGGTTCTAACATTTTTTTCCCTAGGGGAAAAAAAAAGTAAAATTATTCTTATTTATCCAAAATAATATTCCTATTATACAGTTAAGTTCCAGATGAAGCAAGTTCATGGGTAAGCCACATTTTAGATCACACATCATTAAAAAAAAAAAAGAAAGAAAGAAAACAATGAGAAAAAAGACTAGGCTAGAAACTGGCACTGAGTTCTACTATAGACTCTACCACTGAATATGATTTTGAACAAAATCATTTTACATCAACTACTTAATGAGTTAATAAGTACCTGAGACTTATACTTGATGAGTTAATAAGCACCTGAGACTTCTTTTCAATGGCTTCTGTTTTAAGAATAAAAACCCCAAGGTCATGAGTAAACTGGCCTCTTTATACCTCTTTGGCCCCACTTTACATAACTCTTTGCCCCTTCTTTCAGTTCCTTGAAAGAGCCATATCCCTCATGGCCTTGGATCTTTGCAATTGCTATTTCCTATCTTAAATGCTCTTCCCTGACTCCTAATCTTTTTCAGATTTCCATTACCACCTCCTCAGAAAATCTATCCCAATTTCCTCAATTTAAATCCTCTTTTAATAAGCACTGATAATACCAAGTCTCACAGTAATTATTATTTCAACATTAGGTTTTGTGTGCTTATTTAATGTTTGTTTACCATACTAGACCAGGTAGGGCTCTTTGTGTTCCCCCACTGCATCCCTACTGCTGGTACACAACAGGTGCTCAATATATATTTGTTAGTGAAGGAAGTAGAGAAAAGAATTACAAACCAGGCAAAGTGACATGCACCTATAGTCCCAGCAAGCTAAAACAGGAAGATCCCTGAGCCCAAGCATTCCAGGTCACCCTGGGGAACACACAGACTCAGTCTTTAAAAATAAATAAAACAAGTATATTTACCTCTATTTCAATTAAGTCCTTTGGAAAGAAGTGGGGCTCAGAAATTCGAGGTTGACAGGGAGCTCTGAGTTTGGTGACAAGGCACAAACTATATTAAGTTCATCAAAGAAGTGTTCGGGCATGGGGCACGGAGCATGGGGCATAGGGCGAGGAGTGTCAGTAAACTGATGCTCCTTAGCTGCAGATCACATTTCCTACACTTCTTTCACGCCTTGACAATGGTGGCATAACTGCCTCTTTTTAAGACACTGATCAAACTCTTAACTTCCTCCTCTGATCCCCAAACTTTCAGAGGACTGAAGATTAACACACGTAATATCCAAACCAATTCGTTCCCAGACCCTTTCGTTTCCCATGTCCCCAAGTCCTCGGAACAGAAGCCCTCTGTCTGACTTTAATTCCCCTGGGTTCCACGGCTGAAAACATCACCCCTCCCAGCCTCCTCTCCAACTCTCACCTCGCTCCCCCGGTTCAACCGGGTTCATTCGCTGCACATCCACAAGGCGCCCTCCGTGTTTATAGGGCCTTCTACAGAAGCAGAGGGACCCGGAAACGCGCTCGCTCCAGCCAGAAGGCTCGGCTTAGCGGCAGGCAGCCCTGAACGGCA